GTGGAACTGCACAACCTACCCCCTAGAGCTGTGGCCTACAGCAAGAGGATGAATACTAGACGCCCCGAGAAACCTTCCCGATGATTGTAGTTCATGGATTTCCTGGAACGCAATCCTCAAGGGGAGAGCCCCTTTAGATTACCCTTAATCCCCAGCAATCCCTAGGAATATACTTCTGCGCCTAAAGCCTAAACTATTCCCACCGCAAAGTCTTTGTCCCAGTGGCGATCCGGACTGTCGGAGAGGATGTGCATCAACCAGTCGTTGAAAGAGGTCCCGGAGGCCCTCAAGGGTTTAGGGTTTCGGGTGGCTTCCCAAGTTTGCCTCATACTTGGTTCGGTTGATTATGTTGCAAATCCAAGCCCTATGGATCCTGGACATCCCTGCATCTTCGCCGATACCCCTAAACCCTGAACAAAAACTCAAAACATAGACCCCAAACCCTAAACACCCTTAAAACTCTACCCTCAACCTTACAACCTTCAAAGCCCTGAACCCTAGACCTGCAACCAGAAAGCTAAATACACGTTCAGGGTTTAGGGTTCAGAGTTTAGGGTTTAGGGCTGAGGGCTTCAGAACGGTACGCCCTGGCGGTATGGTATTTTCGGTGCCTCAGATTTCAACATAAATCCTCATTCATCTGTTTTTTTTTTGTAATATTTCATCACACATCATTTCGGACCTAAATTAGGATCTCTCTGGAACTGGGGAGATGCTGGCGAAGCTCTAGGATGGTTTTGGGAAAGCTTTGATATTGAGCAAGACCCCGGGGTGAATGGGAGGTACACTCCAGAACTTAAAGCCCCCTCTAGGGTTTACCTAGAAAGCCAGTTACCCATAATCTTAAGCAACTTTGCCCTAATTTCCTACTACTTTGGGTCAAAGTAGCCCATTATTATGGGTAACCAGGCTTTCTAGGTAGGGTTTACCCTAAACCCTAAACCCTTTAGGGTTTAGGGCCCTTGAGGGCCTTGTTGTGTTTCGCCACTCCCGCCAGAAGCTCGCGAGGCGAGCGTAAGGATTCCTGTCACATGCAATTTTGCATTTAGGGTTTAGGGTTTAGGGTTCGGGTACAATAAATCTGGGCAAATGAGAAGAATAGTCATGAGCCTGAATTCCGGCTTTTTGGGGATATTCCCACGGGTAGCCACAATTTAGGGCTAGCTCGTTGGAGTTCTCGTTTATGGTTTAGGGTTTAGGGCTGAGGGTTGGGGCTTACCCCGCAAGAGGGACTTTGTAAGACTAGGCCTCAGGCCCTCAGGGTTTAGCGTTCAAGGGTCCGGGATCCACATGCTGCAAACCATTATTAACCGTGATAAGCCCTTGTATGATCCCAGCTTCCATTTCATGTTCCACTTCCTTTTTCATTAGATTCTCCAGTATTCGGACAATGTCCCTACCCTAAACCCTAAACCCTTAACCCCAAACCCTACACCCTCAACCCTGCCCTAAACCCTCTACTGTTAGGGTTGCGAATCCGAGGGTCCGGGATTCAGGGGGTTTAAGACTTAGGGGCCACAGGGACTGTTGCAATAGATTAGGGCTGACTCTGGGGAGCCAAGTGGGTGAAGGGATTAAAGTCAGAAGTACCTCCTTTAGGCTACGTGGAGACTGGGCGTGAAGGTTTAGGACCTTTTTCAGTTTAGGGGTTTGAACTGGCGGGGCCTGTTTAGTAGACACATTGACATGGTAGTTTCCAAAAACTCAAGACCATCCGGCCCCAAACCCTGAATCCCTAAACCTTAAACCCTAAACCCTTAACTTAACCTCTGAACCTTCAACCTGAAGCCCTAAACCCTTAACCTCTGAACCCCTAAATTTTAAAACCCTAAACCTGGTATACCACGACCGTGGGATCCTCTAATGCCCGGTTTGGGATGTCTTCCCCTCAGGCTCCCGATATCCCAGTGTAGGTAATATCAGG